CTGCCCCCCCCCCCACCCTGGGAATAATCCAGCACAGTCCTGGCCCCCACCCGCAGCCCACCCCACCCATGCCCCTTGCAGATCTGGGGGGCACATGCCCCCCGTGCCCTTCTGGGGTGTATGCAGCAGCAGAAGCCGCCCCCCACTCTCTACGCCCCCGAGACAAGCTGCAGTTCTGTCCCATGCCCCACCCCGGTTGGGCAGCACCTGCCCCAGCCCCACTCCCTCCCTCAGCATGGGGGGCGTTGATCTGCTCCCCCCACGACCCTTCCCTTCCACCACAACAGATTTACCAGCTGGACGCAGCTCTTCAAGCTGCTGGGCTGTGCTCTTCACTGCCTGAGTGCTGTGCTGTGGCTGCACACATGCACGAGCATTTATCAACCAAATTATCAGCCACATCAGGCCGATTTCTAATACACTCAATTTTCTTTATATTGGTGCGGCTCTGATATCGGTCCAATGTATCAGTGCAACTCTTACTGCCTGTGCTATGTGCGCGGGGGAGGTAAGCGAGGGAAGGTGTGCTGGGCCACGTGTGCAGCGGGAAAAGCCTGGGGGAGGGACCGCCCACATAGTGAGCTGCCTTCAGTCAATGACCAGCACCTTATGTGGCCCCCAGGACTGTGGCCTGTTCAGCACGTGGCCCCCAGCTTCCTGGAAGTTGGACTGTTCTTCAGTAAACTATGATAGGTACCTTTCCTATGCATGCATGCATGCACTAATGGAAAAAAAATGAGGGGAGTTTGGGAGAGGAATGATAAAAATGAGAACAAAGATAAAAATGGGATCTTTCACTCATGCTGTTGTGAGTACTAGTTTTCTGGAGGTTTGGTTGAAGCCTGCAATGCGCGTGGGTCTCTTTGTTAAGTGACAAACTAGTCAGGATGATTCCCTGGAGGAAAACGCATCTCCCACTTCTGTTTCCTCTGGGTGGCTTTTCCAGGGAAGTGGGAGCCATGTAGCCTTGGATATTGCTAACAGCACAAGAGGAAAAAGTCTATTTCCATTCTGCCTGACCTTTGCTTTCATAAGGATCTTTTCCCCTTGCTGTCCCTCATGGATTGCTATAAGGCGAGTTCAGTGACCTCAAGTGTCCCGACAGCCAGTGTGGTCCCATTCTCTCACAGGGGAATCCTTAGGCCTTAAGTCATTGCGGAAATTTTCAGTTGTTAAATCATTTAGCTTAAATGACAGTCTGATGATCTTCAAAAAATATGAAAAACAGGGCGTGTGAACTTGGCTGCTAAGGAAATGGACAACTGACTTGTCAGTTAATACAAATGTATACAGACAATTTTTACTATCTCCAGGAATGAATTTTTTTAAAGACAGGTCATTGTGTTCAGAATTTGCTGAAATATTCTGGACTTTCCAATGACAAAGAATTGGGAACTAATATACATTTCTAGCTTGTCCCAATGGCTTTTGATCTAAAAATTAGAAGACATTTTATATATTTTATTAGAATATATTTTTAAATGCATCGACATTTTAAAAATATAAGTTTGTCCCATGCAAATCCATGCTTGTAATTAGGAAAAGGCATATTGAAGTGAGACGTTTGGGTTGTTTCCAGTTGTAAGTTCTTACATCTGAAGTTCACTAAGAGCCAAGTAGGTATGTCAACATTAACAGGCATAGAATTGACTGACCCAGCGTAGTGTTCAATCTTTTTTCCTTGGTGGGCTGCATGGGCAGTGCCTGGTCTATCTGCATGTCAGATCTAGCCAGTGGCCCTGATCTGGTGCCCAGGGCCCCATCTGGACATATGGAAGGAGGTAGGGGGCAACCTGGGCCCAATCCAGCTGCATGGGGGGAAACAGGCATGGCCCAGCCCCGATTCAGCCATGCTTCAGGAGGGGAGCATGGCCTGGCCCCCAACCCATCCGTGCAGAGAAAACAGGGCATGGCCCAGCCCCATTTCAACTATGTGGGGCGAAGGGGGTCTGGGCTAGCCCCAGTCTGGTTTGTGTGGGAGAGGGGGCATGGGAGTTTGATATTGGAGGAGGGTGGCAGCATAATGGCCGCTGCTCCCCCACTGTCAAATTTCCTGACCTATGGGGAGCCCCATGGGCCAGATGGGTGCTTCTGGGGGTAGGGCAGTGCACCATTTGGCCCACAGGCTGGAGGTTGAGCACCCCTAGACTAACAGGAGGAAAAAGAAGGTATATTGAGCAAAATGGGAGGAATTAGCAGACTGCTTAAGAACAGTAATTGGTGAAAGCACTGAATAAATTAACTAATTACGTTATTTGTGTTTTTTACATTTTAGAGATGAAATTGGATTAATCCCCTGTCCTGAAGCAAGGTATAACCGGAGCCCCATAGTGCTGGTACAGAACAAACTTGGTGTGGAGAGCTGGTGCGTCAAGTTCCTTTTGCCATATGTCCATAACAAGCTCCTCCACTATAGACAAAGAAAGCAATGGCTCAACAAAGACGGTAAGTACTTGATTGACTAAATTCCTCTCTGATTCCTAGTGTGTAGTTTTTTATTATCTATTGCGAAATACCACAGACATTTTAAGAAATACTGTGTTGGGGAGACTACCCAAAGCTGTATTGGAACAGCTTCATGGCAGAGAGAATGGATCTATTGTACAAGCTAAATCTCCAGTTTCTTCTACCCAAACTGAAACTCCAATTCATTTTTCTTTTTCCTAAGCTGGCAGCGATGTAAAGAATGAAACAAGTAATTTTACTAAATTAGGACAAATGTTACTGTCCTTAGAGACAATTTTATCTAGCTCTTCTCGATCAGATGTATGGTCATGATGCTAGGTGGCTCTGAGATGGAAAAGGAGCACAAGATTTTCAAGGCTCAGAGGATTACATGGGGAAATATTATTTGTATAAACAGCTTGGTATTGTACAGCTCCTGTTTATTAACTCATTTTTGTAGGCGTGTAAAGATATTGTTGACTTTGAATGGTTTCTGCATTCTTTTTTTTATCAAAAGATAGTAAATGTATAAATTAGGAGAGATAAGTTGGTATAAAATTGACACCATTTTTTTACTGGGCAAAAATCACTTGGCTGTTTCTCTGTAAAACACAGTTGTGTTTGGTGTAAGATACAGCTAGAAGGTTAGATCCATCTTAGCAACATGGAATTTCTCATTGTTCTACTGGACTATCATAGACTTCACTCTCTGAAAAAACTGATGTGCTTCTCTTACATGGACTGAAAAGCATGCTGGTTGGATGGGTACAGTGTTTGGGATGTTACAACTACAAATAATTTGCGTTGTGAAGAGTGTAAAAGCCTGTAAAGCTGTAGAATCATAATATCATGTTTACTTGAATCTAATATGAGGCTTTTTTCCCCCATTCAACATGTGGGGAGGGAGCTTTTTGTCTTACAATCAAGTATAAATTGCGGGGGTGAGAGGAGGAACAGAGGCTGCAGCTCTGACTGCAGCCCTGAGCCCAGGGCTGGAGTTGAAACCACAGCCACTGCCCCCCTTGCCACCTGCCCCCCCTTCCCCCCTACTCCTGCAGCCTCTGCTCCCCACCGCTGCTTACCCTCCCCTTGCAGCTCTGGCTCCTGCTGGGGCCTCAGTCCAGCTGGGAGCACAGAGTATGTGCTGCCACCAACCACAGCCTGACTACACAGCAGCCACAGCAGCGCTGGCCCCAGCTCCAGAAAAGCTGCTGTGTGGCCAGGCTGGGGCTGGAGGCATCACATGATTCATGTTCCTTGTCTAGGGCAGGAGCAGGGCCCCAGCAGGAGCTGGAGCAGCAAGGGAAAAGTAAGTAACAGTGGGGGAGGAAAGAATTAGGTCAGGCATTGGTGGGGGGGAAGGGAGGACAAGTGCCACAGGCACCACAGGGGCATGCAGGAGTGGGGGCAAGTGGCAGAGGAAGCCAAGCAGGGTTGGCAAGCACTGAGGAGGGGGGGCAGGTAGAAGGGGTACAATTAGGGGATAGGCAGCAGGGGGTGCAGGCAACACGGGGGTAGGTGTGGGGCATGCAGTCATTGAGTAAAGGGGTCAGGCAGCCAGGGCGGCAAGGGTGGGGAGAGGCAGCAAGGGACAGAGGTCAGGCCACTTGACTCCCTTGCTGTTTGACCCACTACCACCTCCCACCTTGCCACTGCTTTCTCCAGGACAATGCTGGGGCAGAATGAATTTAAGATAGCCTTCCAAACATTAGATTCTAGACATGTAAGATGTATAATAAATTTATAAACTTCCATGTCTAGAATTAATTATTGGGGGGTCATCTTAAATTAATTATTGGGGGGTCTTGGATTTGGGTAAATGTGGCAATTTAACAGAAT